CAGTCGTCTCGGAGGGACGGCTGAATTCATGAAGGAGGTTGAAGTGAGACAAAATGAATTAGAAAGATTGGTGGGATGGCGAGATGGAGTCGAGTGGAAACGTACGCCGTGCTTCTCGAACCAATCACGATAGAGCGGTACTTTATGACCACCAATCATGAATTCTGGTGCTCATACTGTATATAAGAGTCTCTGCTTGTTTGGCATTATTTTCCCATTTGTTGTTTTAAACTTGATGAGGTTGCACCCGAGAATCAGGCCCCAGCTCAGACGCGGCCAGTCTGAGTAGCCGTATTTATAAGCCCATAATCTCGCACAATCAGTGGCACTCGTTCGAGTTGGTCAGGCCCTCTGATGGAGACGATTTCTTTTTGCCTTCTTCCGGACCGGATCGCCCAAGCTCACTGGTATCATGCTAGTATCTGCTCTTTCAGAATGCAGGGAGACTGTACATTGAATTCGGTAGTGGTACACGTATGATACAAATAGAAATACAGGAGTGATGATAAGTGTGTAGCATAAGGCATGGACATAGACATAGGCCGGCATAGGCATAGAAATGACATAGGTGCATAGATGAATGAATGAAGCAAACGGACTGGTGATCGGTAGCGCATCGGATGAGTAAATGCAGGAACGAGTAGGAAAGAAACGTAGCGATAAAAAGGGAAACCTCACAACCCCTCCACCTACAACGCCACCCCAATCTCCTCCGGATCCACTGCCGTAAACTCGAACCGCTCGTTGAGCCGCAGAACCGTCCCAAGCGCCTCGAGGTGTATCGCAGTCATCTCCGGATCCGTCTCGTCCTCATCATCTTCGTCGTCGTCCGCGTCCGCGGCGTCGGCGAGGTAACCCGAGAACGAGTGCACGCGCGCGTGGACGTGCGGACGCTCAGGCAGCGGCGGCGGGGGCGGGCGGTTCTCCACGCCCTGCGCCGGCGCTTTGCCCCTGGACTTGCTGGATTTGAAGGAGCGGATGCTCAGCGCGCGGGTACGCGTGAACTTCGAGAAGGAAGTGGAGCGCGTGTGCGTGTGGGTCGACGTTGTTGCGGACGCGCTGTACGCGGGCTCCTGCATGCCACCAGCCTTCGCATTCGCATCGAGCGCCGTCAACGCGCGCGCGCTCGGACGCGGGAAGAGGCCCGGCACGATCTTCTTGAGGACCTTCCATCCGCTACGTTTCGCAGGGACTGGCACGGGCGTCCCAGGCGCGGGTTCGCGGGGCACGGCTTTGAGCGGGGTAATGACAGCGCAGTCGGTGCGGAGGCTTGTGCTCGTGCCAGTACCAGTGTACAGTGACTTGACACTCGCGGCGTAGCGGCGCTTCTTTCCGGGTGGGGGCCTCGCGATGACGGGCGGGGGCGGAAAATCGAGTAGAGTAGGAGAGGTAGCGGTGGCAGCGGGCGTTAGGCCGAAGCGCGCAAAGTCGAGGTCGGGGCCGCCGAAGCCGGGGAAGTCGATGATGGAGCCGTCCATGGAGGTGGGGCGGGAGCGGACGTAGAGGCCCTTAGTGGAGCCGCCGGGGGAGGCGGGCTCCACCTCTGTGTCGCTGGTGGCATTGTCGAGGAGGAGCGAAAGTTTGGAGGATTGAGCATCGGAGAGCAGGGTGGCATTCTCATCGGCTTCAGACATGGTGGCAAACGCAAAGTGCTAGCGCGCAAGGGAGGAAGATGCGAAAGGGTGTGCAGTGAGGTGCAACAAGGGTAATGGAGGTGGCAAGGCGGGTTTTATACGATTCCATTGTTGGTTTTTCGGGAGCTTGGTTGATGCTACCGGACAATGAGAATCCTTTTTGGGTAACCTGTATCGTCTCCACGTGGAATAACCACCGAAGCGTGGCACGCTTTGTAGATAGCGCAGAATATTCTCCGCGGGAAGTCCTAGGGACGTTTGGATGCGTAAGTGTCAGAGTTTTGCGCCGAACTCAAAGGAAAGGTCGTTCAGACAGCCATCTTTTGATTTTGAAGAGTTGGCGTCCGTCGCGTCAACGCGCACAACCACCCAAGCGTATTGCGTCGTGCGACGCTTTGGATACAGCCCAGATTATTCCCGGCGGGAGTTCCTAGCGACCACTTTGGATGTATAAGGAGAGTTAGCGACGAAGCCGAAAGAAACGAAACCGGCAGCAAAGCACCAATTGAGTTTGAAGACCGTGAGGAGGATTGCGAATCATCCGAATCGTGGATGTAAAGATATTGGACCAAGGATCAGTAGAACATTTGGACCGGAGTCTGCAGCAACGAGTTATTTGACGAAGTGCATATAATATAGGCAATCCAAGTCCTGTTCTCCCCAGTCGCGACCGGAAATCCTGGGACGGCAGCGAAGAAACAGTATATCCAACCGCGGTGTTCAAGGAAGAGCACTGGGATCCGTAGTTTTTACGCTTCATTCAAATAGCAAGTTTGTTGAAGCAACGGTCTTCGACGAGAAGGACAGATGCAAACGCCGGGTGTGTATCAGATCCAGTCTCTGCTTGAAGCCGACCCGGCGTAACAGATATCAGCTTGTACGCGAATATCCTGGTGGTAATTTGGGCGGTGAATTGAAGGAGTTTTTTCGAGAATCCTTGAAAGAATCCGCGCAAGAAAAATCAATGGTGGTGGTTTGGGAGAACAGGTGACGTAACTGTGACCGTTACGGTCACATCTCTTGCTCTCTCCATGTCGTGGTAGTCGATTCTATTGTGCAGTCTTGTCAGTTCGTTTTTCACTCCGTTTCCGCAATAGTTACTGGAACTGGTCAATACGCCTCCTGGGAAAAGCTTCTTTACGCCATGTCTCACCTCGATCTCACCTCGATCTTTACCACGTTTTCTGTGCCGAAATTTGTACTCGCTGGGCTCGCCCGCGGAAGCAAATCATGTCTCGGAAGCAAAATTTCTCCTAACGCGAACGCCTTATAACCCATGCAAGGGGCTTGGTCTCCTTAACATCTTGTTCTTCTCCCACCACGTTGATCGTGGTCTTCTATTTACTTTGCCCTCGACCGCTTTTACCCTCTCATTTCCTTGAATCCTCCTCTTCTCTTTGCTCCATCCTCCCTCAATTCCTGTGTCACTTCATGTCTTCTTCTTCTCAAATCCCCGACTTTACCGGCCACCTCGTTGACGAGGGTCGTTTGCGTCTCACAGAAGTCCTCGGTTCTGGTAACTACGGCACGGTCTACAAGGCTCTCGATATCACCACCACTCCCGCCACGCCCACCCACTACGCCGTCAAGTGTCTAGGGCCCGTCATACCCAACACGACTCAGGGGTCTCGGTACGACGAGCGCGAAATCAAGTTGCATACCCTCTGCAACTCGCATCCCAACGTCGCCACCCTCTACCGCCGGTTCTCTCACCAAGGCTTCCTCTTCATCGTCCTCGAGCTGTCCGCGGGCGGGCACCTCTTCGACGCCATCGACACCGGTGTCTTCCGCCACAACGACGCCCTCGTGCGAGACGTCTTCTTGCAGCTCATCGATACCGTGCGATCCTGCCACGAAAGGGGCGTCTACCACCGGGATCTCAAACCAGAAAACATTCTGTGCAACGCCGCGGGCGGCGACATTCGAATCGCAGACTTTGGGCTCGCCACAGACTCCGCAGTTCCCTGCGCTCATGGGGGCGGCAGCGCTTCGTACATGTCTCCAGGTGCGTCTCACCATCTTCCACTTCATGCATCTCCGCTCATTTTCACTTCATTCGTTCGCAGAGTCCCTCACGTTAGGCTCCGACACCGAGACCTACGAACCGCGACAAAGCGACGTCTGGGCACTCTGCATCGTCCTTCTGAATCTAATGTCGGGTCTGTACCCCTGGCGCCGCGCGCACGACGACGACACGGGCTTCGACGCCTTCCTCACCGACGCCGGCTACCTGCGGCATATCTTCCCCATCTCCGACCCGCTCAACGACCTTCTCGAGCGGTGCTTCCGCCCTGTACCCCACACGCGCCCCACCCTCCTCCAGCTCCGGACGGAGATCGCCGAGATGGAACGCCTCTTCTCTAGCGCGGAGACTCGGGAGGAGCAAGAGAAACCCGAGCTGCTGCGCCCCATCTGTCTTTCGGCGCCGGCGTCGATGTCCACAGGCGCTTCGTTCGCGTTTAGTACCTGGTTGGCGCCGGCGCCATCCACCAATGCTACATCGAGCCCGGCTTCGCTCATCCCCACGCTTACTCCTTCGGCGTCGTTCGACTCTAGCGCCCTGCGGCCCACGCGCACCCTGTTCGTTTCGGAGACGCGATTCCCGCCCGTGTTCGTAGTTTCGCATCCACACTCTAACGTTATCCGGGCTTCGTCACCCTCAACCAAAGGACTACTGAAGCGCATGTTGAAGTGGATCAAGAAGGCTACGCGTGGCACTAAGAAATCGTACGTTCCCCTCCCTTCCTTCCGCACTTCTACTTTATTCATCATTCATCGTTCGTTCAGAAAGAAGTCGAAACCCTAAGTATTTGCTTATTGTGCGACTCGGCGCGGGCGCTAATAAACCGTACGTTCCTTTCCCTTCCTTCCGCACCTCTGATTTATTCATGGTTCATTATTCGATCAGAAAGAATGCGAAGGCCTGAAATGTTTGATATATTGTTTGTGAAGAATGCGGGAGCTTTCTCAGGTACGTTCCAACTCCATGCCCTCGCCCTTCGCGATTCTGAACAATATCCAGATAAAATCGAAAACCTCAAAACATTATATACGGCGCGAAAATCACCCAAAATATCATATACGACGCGAAAATTCCCGTCCTTGAGCTGGACTCGACGGCGTGGAGCCATAAACAGGCGGCTGTAGATTTGAACGGAGGTGTAGGCGGAATACTCTGATGTTGCAGCGAATGTTTATAATTAGTTATGCTATCGGTCGGGATTGCAATACTAAAGAACCGCGGAAGGCAAGTGACAGAAGGGTGTTTTGATTCTCTGAATGAATATGGAGCGAAATGAAGGCCGATCCTGCGGCACTTCTTTTTTTGCTTGCCAGCTGGAACAAAAATCCATCTCGGATTTCTTACGAGCATGGCAGGACTCGAACCTGCAACCTTTCGGTACGGTTTACGCAGGCAATCGAAGCCGAACACGCTAAACCATTGCGCCACACACCCAGTACAGGTAGGCTGTGAAAGGTAACTAATAAAGGCAAAAAACATTCATAGTCCTCTATCAGCCGCATGCTGGTCGCCTCATCTTCATACTCATCCCATACTAATAGAGATCGTCGCGTCGCTTAGGCAACGGGGGATCGTGGTAAGTACATGGCTTCTGTGTGTCCCTCGCCATGTTTAATTTTTCCACCCTTTCCCCGGAAGCCCTAGGATGCGCCTCTAAGTGTACCGAGCAAACCCTGAGCCTTCTGTACTTCTCCGGCGCGTCCATGGCGTACAGAACTGCACTCGAGTATCGGTGCGCGACGGGCACCTCGCGCTCACCTCCGTCGAGGCACGAGTCGCCGCTGACCATGCCACCGAACGCAGCGATTGTGTTTCATCTCACCGCACGCATGTGCCTTGTTATCCACCTTTGCTCTTCACCGTACATACTGTTTATTTCCTTAAAATTTATATTTCTCTGTCATCCAGAAGACCTTCGGCCTGCATGCACATCAACTTATTTGAAAAGGACAGTATCCAAAAGGATGAGTTTGGCTTGAGATTTTTCAAAGGCTAGGACGCCCAAGTGGGTGGTCGGCCAAGAGAGCCGATCATGGGCTTGTTCTCCGATCGCGCATCACACCAGGGGCAAAGACCAACACATTTGAATTCGAATGCGGTGGACGCATTCCATTCGCCTTCAGTGTGACAGTTTAAAATAGGGGTCAAAGGCGGTTTGTACGGACAAAGGATACACAATGGAAGGACAAAGAAAAGATAAAGGTTTCCTGGGACGCCGCTGGCGCTCCTAGAACCCCCCAGGGTGTCCCAGGAAACCTTTGTGCTTCCTTTATCCCTCCTTTGTTTGCCCTTTGTGCATATAAACTAGCTTTATGTGAGTGGTCACTCTGTGACACCAAATGCGTCCGCTGCATTCGAAATTGAATGCCTCGGTCTTTGCCCCCGATGTCACTCACTTGCTTTTCGAGCAGTGTAATGGAGAGGGAAACCAAATTCCTTTTTCAATACCTTTGCCTATTATAATGCATGCAAAATTGATGGAACAAGAAAGAACCGTCTACGAGGACCAGCTTGAGTCGCCAAATTCGTGAAATCCCGTCCGTTCTTCCCCCTTCCAGACTTGCGACCGTCGCTTCCTCTCAGTTCGAAGGCTCTAAACGCATCCTCCATCCGTCCTTACGGAATCATCATCCGTCCTTTGCCGCACGGAGTGCACAAAGTGTCGCGATGGGGTGTTGTCCGTGTCAACTGCAGCGCCAACGTTGAAGGAAGGAGAATGGTTCTGCAAAAGTACGAGTTTTGTATGTCGAAAGACCCGACAGGCCATGAGTGTGCTTAGCATGAGGTTTGGAGGTGAAACGAGGCTGCGATACGTCGGGCCGACCCCAGGCGCATAGATCATCACGGACGCTGCAATATTGGTCACGACGGTAATCCTGGCAGCGAAATATTTTGCAATGGTCATCGACGTAGTTGTGGGTGTAAACTTACATGTAATACATCTGACCATCAACAAGCATGGCCCTGGAGAGATGGGGCAGATACGCCCCGCGGAAGAACACGTGGAACTTGTCCCGCCAGCCGTGAACGACATATACATTGCTCGCGAGCCGGTAAGATATTGCAACGAAAACGCCCGTGTCAAATATGGACTGCGTTATACACGCTGCGGCGGAATAAGGCGCAAGCTGCGAGAGGATGCAGTAGCGCGTGGCTCCAATGCTGGTGGCTGCAGTGCCGAATACGACGCCGATGCACGCGACGAGTTCTGCGAGCCAGACGAGGCTGAAGAGGACGGTCACGATTTGCGACCCGGTGTATACTGCCCGGACACGGTAGAAGAAGAGTAGGGATGTTGACGGGATGACAATGGGATAGAGGATAATGAGGGCCCGTTCGAACTCTCGACATCCGCCAACAGGAAATGCTGCATGTGATATGAATTTGTATGAAACTCGTATGTGGGGACTACCATCACGCACTAAGGAACGTTGTCCATCCGACCAGGAACACAAGGAGAAAGTACCTGAGCACCACATGAGTCGCGTGTGTGTGAAAGGGTTTCCCCCTTGCCTGGCGACGAAGTATGTGAACCCAGCCCACCGGATTCTCGATCGCAACAGCAGAACGTCTGCCCCGAGATTGTCTAATATGTCCCAGAAGTATACCTGCCTCAACGGAAATGAAATAAACTTTAAAGTGTGGTTGAAAGAAGCTGAAGATAAAACTCGCACCGCGGTTGTACCAATCCAGATGAATCGTAGAATCTTGAGCTCCGCCAGCTCAGACGGCAGAAGGGAAAGAGGCGATTCGGAATCGGCGAGAAGACTGTGATTCCCAGAGGCCGCAATGACCATGATCAGCGAGTCGTGCAGGATGGAGGCGACAAAGAGTGAGATGGATTGCGGAGCTCGTTATTTATTACCTTGGACTCGAGACAGCGAGAACGGCACTGATCGTAATAACTGGAGCGATTTCCGTTCTGAATCTGAGAAGGGTCGCCGGCAGAAGCCGTCTCCGATCAACAAACAAGCGGCCAACTCGGAGAGGATGCTTCGAATATGCCAAGGCGATAGGCGCTCCTGAACGTCGCAGGAGGCGAGTGGGGTGTTCAGTTGGAGCCGGGGAATCCCGGTTGGGTGAAGAACGTCAGTACAACGTCATAAAGCCTGATGGCAATAGCCAGCCTTCACACGCTGCCAGAGCTCCACAGTTGACGAGAACGAAACGGTTCTAAATTAGAATATTGCATTCAGCTGGAAGGTCCAGCTGTGAGGACACGGTGGTGCAAAGGAGACCTCGGAAAGTCGGAGTCACTTGCAATGGTGTGACAATGAAATCAAAGTGACGTCGACCCAACGTCGACCCACCGATTAACACCGGAAATCATCCCCCACATTATCTCTCCGCCCATTGGAATCCGCTAGCTTCCGTCGTGTACTGCAGGACATCGATGGCTTTGAGCCTCCACAATCTTCCGTATAATTATGCTTGCACATGAACTACCAGTAATATCAAGATGAGCTCGTGGTCAAGCACATGAAGCAAAGATTCAAGCACGCTATGAGCGAGCACAGTCAATTTTTATTGTACGACGGATATAGTACGGCCACGGTACGGTTAGCACGCTTTACCGGAATCGCTGCACGGTACGGTACGGAAAGAATATAGCCGGAATGCGGGTTACGGAAGGATACAGAAATGAAATATTATCCGCCTCCTCTAGAACCTCAATTTTTCAGATGACGTAAATAGAGAGAGAGTATTAGGAAGAGAGCAGAATGCGGGCTGCCTTGTATGGCAGGGTTCAGACCGAGACTGAATTGCGATGCGGCGGAGGGTCGCGAGCCGAGCACGGTGGAGCTGCTGGCAGCCAAATTGGGTTGTCGGATGGGGTAGAGGCAGCTTAAAGAGCAAGGGACGTTATGTCTTGCGAATAATGGCGTTGTCACCGAGCACGGTGGAGCTGCTGGCAGCCAAATTGAGTTGTCGGAGCTCAAAGAGGACCAGGACCAGGACGTTATGTCTACAATCGATCCAGTCATTCTTTTACCAAACATTGTTCTATCATGTTCTCCATTACCATGCAATATGTGGCAGTACTAGTGCTTCGACTCCAGGGGAACACGGTCACATGGTTACATCAGGAAAGGACGCGATTTTGTTCGGATGTAAATATAGTATCAAGGAGCGTCGGATATTCGGCACCTTCCCTGACTTTGTTCCTCGTGACATAGCAGACCATCAAGATACATCGTATTAAAATCTCTTGCTTTCCATGAATCTTTGCTCGTGAGGGTTAGCACATCGCATATGATTTACGATTTTCGTCATCTTGCAGTCTGATAGGAATTATTTTGCGTCCGCCATACGTTTTCTAGTCACAACACATACATTTACTCACAGCAGAAGATTCCGTAGAATAACACATTTCGGGCAAACTGACTAGCCCTTCCAAATATACAATGGGTTTTTCAGCCTACCAAGACGCGTTGATCTTCCTGGGATATTACCCCTTCATCTTACTCTAAATTTGACCGACCACTGACCCTCATCCAGAACCTACCGGCCGGGAGCATTACCCTGCAACAACATGACACCTTTCAAACACTATCATTAGAACTAAGTCATCGTGCCTGACCACATGCACTCGCGGGCCGATAGCTGCTGTTATTGTTAGTGTGCTTCTGTGTAGGTTATGCTGTCGCCATGCGTAGGGGTTAAGAGGCTCAGCCCAGCTAGATCCAACAGGGCTAGAAGACACTTGACTATATCAGAATCTGGAACCTTCGGTAGTAACTTGGTGCGAACGACACTTGACCACTGCCCCTCTACTCCCACATACTCAATTACAATACTTCTAGTGCCACGTAAGTGTCGAGAGCATCACGTACTCATAACGTGAGAGCCTGCCCTTGCTTCTCCCATAAAGGCGGGTACCACTGGGAAGAACTTCGACCGACCTCTGCCAGACCTCCGACATGATTTCACAGATACTATACCCTGTTGCTGGAACACTCTTCTGCTTTGCGATGTTCCATATGGTGCAGTTTCTATACTACGAGCTTACCTTTCCACTGCGCCACGTTGTCAGCCCTAGGAATCCCAGCTTCGCTTTCGGAAATTTCAAACAGATGGGGGTGAATTCCTAAACTTCCGCGCTTACTTAGATTGAACCATACATGTCTAGGACAACGCCCAGTTGATCTCAAAGTGGCGCAGCGAATTTGGTCGCACCTTTCGCTTTAAGAACCTGTTCGGTGTCCGTTACATCTCCAACATCCTGCTGCGTTTCTGCTGATGTAGGAACAGATCAGCGAACTGCACACCTCCGATATCAAGGCGATAAACCAAGTACTCACCAATGGCACGATCTATCACCGGGTGCCGTTTAGGCGCGATCATATGAAGCGGATTTTAGGAAACGGTCAGCCGAAGCTCCTTGCAGCACCGTTTATCACTTAATGACTGCATTGCTTAACAGGAATTCTCTC